ACATATATCAGGCCACACTATCCACTGGCCCACATATATCAGGCCAGACTATCCACTGGCCCACATATATCAGACCACACTATCCACTGGCCCTCATATATCAGCCCACACTATCCACTGACCCCACATATATCAGGCTACACTATAGACTGGCCCACATATATCAGGTCACACTATCCACTGGCCCACATATATCAGCCCACACTATCCACTACCCCTCATATATCAGGCCACACTATCCACTGGCCCACATATATCAGGTCCCACTATCCACTGGTTCACATATATCAGGCCACACTATCCACTGACCCCACATATATCAGGCTACACTATAGACTGGCCCACATATATCAGCCTACACTATCTACTGGCCCACATATATCAGGCCACACTATCCACTGGCCCACATATATCAGGTCACACTATCCACTGGCCCACATATATCAGGCCACATTATCCACTGGCCCACATATATCAGGCCACACTTTCCACTGGCCCACATATATCAGGCCACACTATCCACTGGCCCACATATATCAGGCCACACTATCCACTGGCCCACATATATCAGGCCACACTCTGTGTATCCACTGGCCCACATATATCAGGCCACACTATCCACTGGCCCACATATATCAGGCCACACTATCCACTGGCCCACATATATCAGGCCACACTCTGTGTATCCACTGGCCCACATATATCAGGCAACACTATCCACTGGCCCACATATATCAGGCCACACTATCCACTGGCCCACATATATCAGGCCACACTATCCACTGGCCGACATATATCAGGCCACACTATCCACTGGCCCACATATATCAGGCCACACTCTGTGTTTCCACTGGCCCACATATATCAGGCCACACTATCCACTGACCCACATATATCAGGCCACACTATCCACTGGCCCACATATATCAGCCCACACTATCCACTGGCCCACATATATCAGGCTACACTATCCACTGGCCCACATATATCAGCCCACACTATCCACTGGCCCACATATATCAGGCCACACTATCCACTGGCCCACATATATCAGGCCAGACTATCCACTGGCCCACATATATCAGGCCACACTATCCACTGGCCCACATATATCAGGCCACACTTTCCACTGGCCCACATATATCAGGCCACACTATCCACTGGCCCACATATATCAGGCCACACTATCCACTGGCCCACATATATCAGGGCACACTGTGTATCTACTGGCCCACATATATCAGGCCACACTATTCACTGGCCCACATATATCAGGGCACACTGTGTATCTACTGGCCCACATATATCAGCCCACACTATTCACTGGCCCACATATATCAGGCCACACTATCCATTGGCCCACATATATCAGGCCACACTATCCACTGGCCTACATATATCAGGCCACACTATCCACTGGCCCACATATATCAGGCCAGACTATCCACTGGCCCACATATATCAGACCACACTATCCACTGGCCCTCATATATCAGCCCACACTATCCACTGACCCCACATATATCAGGCTACACTATAGACTGGCCCACATATATCAGGTCACACTATCCACTGGCCCACATATATCAGCCCACACTATCCACTACCCCTCATATATCAGGCCACACTATCCACTGGCTCACATATATCAGGCCACACTATCCACTGACCCCACATATATCAGGCTACACTATAGACTGGCCCACATATATCAGCCTACACTATCTACTGGCCCACATATATCAGGCCACACTATCCACTACCCCACATATATCAGGCTACACTATCCACTGGCCCGCATATATCAGGCCACACTATCCACCGGCCCACATATATCAGGCCACACTATCCACTGGCCCACATATATCAGGCCACACTATCCACTGGCCCACATATATCAGGCCACACTATCCACTGGCCCACATATATCAGGCCACACTCTGTGTATCCACTGGCCCACATATATCAGCCCACACTATCCACTGGCCCACATATATCAGGCCACACTATCCACTGGCCCACATATATCAGGCCACACTATCCACTGGCCCACATATATCAGGCCACACTATCCACTGGCCCACATATATCAGGCCACACTATCCACTGGCCCACATATATCAGGCCACACTATCCACTGGCCCACATATATCAGGCCACACTATCCACTGGCCCACATATATCAGGCCACACTATCCACTGGCCCACATATATCAGGCCACACTATCCACTGGCCCACATATATCAGGCCACACTTTCCACTGGCCCACATATATCAGGCCACACTATCCACTGGCCCACATATATCAGGCCACACTATCCACTGGCCCACATATATCAGGCCACACTATCCACTGGCCCACATATATCAGCCCACACTATCCACTGGCCCTCATATATCAGGCCACACTATCCACTGGCCCACATATATCAGGCCACACTATCCACTGGCCCACATATATCAGGCCACACTATCCACTGGCCCACATATATCAGGCCACACTATCCACTGGCCCACATATATCAGGCTACACTATCCACTGGCCCACATATATCAGGCCACACTCTGTGTATCCACTAGCCCACATATATCAGGCCACACTATCCACTGGCCCACATATATCAGGTCACACTATCCACTGGCCCACATATATCAGGCCACACTATCCACTGGCCCACATATATCAGGCCAGACTATCCACTGGCCCACATATATCAGGCCACACTATCCATTGGCCCACATATATCAGGCCACACTATCCACTGGCCCAATTTGGGGAGGGGGTGTCACGTTACAAACAGAAAGATCTCACAAACATCGACTGGCTAAACCATCTACTCGCACACCGACTCTCTAAAACCTCTTTAGCCTACACCACTTTAGTCTTTTAGCACACGCCTCAGCTTGTGAAAGCCAAGAAAATATTTGTCCAAGGAGCGAGAGTTGGGACTGACCGTTCTGATAGCCTGATGCACATGGTGCACTGGGTTCTCATGATAGCCTGGTGTACATGGTGCACTGGGTTCTCATGATAGCCTGATGCACATGGTGCACTGGGTTCTCATGATAGCCTGGTGTACATGGTGCACTGGGTTCTCATGATAGCCTGGTGTACATGGTGCCCTGGGTTCTCATGATAGCCTGGTGTACATGGTGCACTGGGTTCTCATGATAGCCTGGTGTACATGGTGCCCTGGGTTCTCATGATAGCCTGGTGTACATGGTGCACTGGGTTCTCATGATAGCCTGGTGTACATGGTGCACTGGGTTCTCATGATAGCCTGGTGTACATGGTGCACTGGGTTCTCATGATAGCCTGGTGTACATGGTGCACTGGGTTCTCATGATAGCCTGGTGTACATGGTGCACTGGGTTCTCATGATAGCCTGGTGCACATGGTGCACTGGGTTCTCATGATAGCCTGGTGTACATGCACTGGGTTCTCATGATAGCCTGGTGTACATGGTGCACTGGGTGCTCATGATAGCTTGGTGTACATGGTGCACTGGGTTCTCATGATAGCCTGGTGTACATGCACTGGGTTCTCATGATAGCCTGGTGTACATGGTGCACTTGGTGCTCATGATAGCCTGGTGTACATGGTGCACTGGGTTCTCATGATAGCCTGGTGTACATGCACTGGGTTCTCATGATAGCCTGGTGTACATGGTGCACTTGGTGCTCATGATAGTCTTGTGTACATGGTGCACTGGGTTCTCATGATAGCCTGGTGTACATGGTGCACTGGGTTCTCATGATAGCTTGGTGTACATGCACTGGGTTCTCATGATAGCCTGGTGCACATGGTGCACTGGGTTCTCATGATAGCCTGGTGTACATGGTGCACTTGGTGCTCATGATAGCCTGGTGTACATGCACTGGGTTCTCATGATAGCCTGGTGCACATGGTGCACTGGGTTCTCATAATAGCCTGGTGTACATGGTGCACTGGGTTCTCATAATAGCCTGGTGTACATGCACTGGGTTCTCATGATAGCCTGGTGTACATGGTGCACTGGGTGCTCATGATAGCCTGGTGTACATGCACTGGGTTCTCGTGATAGCCTGGTGTACAGGCTGTGTGTCTGTGTGTGTGTCTGTATATGTGCGGTAGAGTGAGTATAATTTTTAGCATAATTTCCGCCCTTGCTGTGTTGTAATTACAATAATTAATTAACGAACGATTATTGATTGGACAATTTAGTACTTTTATTTTTATTGTGTACAATATTCAAATCCAAGCGAACGGGTTTAAAACAATCTTCGTCCTATATAGAGTTCATTCATGTCCTTGAGTTTATTTCTGATCTTCACTTCTTGTAGAAGCTTAGTTTACTGCTGAAGTTTAATGTACTGCTGTATTGTCGTGTGGTGTGTTGGTATAGTGTGGTGCATTGGAGCATTGTGGTGTATTGCTGTATTGTCAACTCGCACATCAACTCGCACATCAACTCGCACATCAACTCGCACATCAACTCGCACATCAACTCGCACATCAACTCGCACATCAACTCGCACATCAACTCGCACATCAACTCGCACATCAACCCGCACATCAACTCGCACATCAACTCACACATCAACTCGCACATCAACACATACACAAATTTGACCAGTTCGTAAATTTGTACCATAAAAAAGAAAAGGGTATTTACATAATTTTTCCGGAAATTAATATCAGTCTTGTCCTTGGTAACAGCTTTGGTACCCCCCCCCCCCCCACCCCGACAATAATCGTGTCATCCTTCCTCCCTGACCAGGCTTAGCAAACACCCCCCCCCCCCTCCCCCGTACCTGACATCTTTCGGATCTTAATCTCAGCCCCCCCCCCCCCCCCCTATTTCGGACTTTGACCTTGATTGTGCTCCTCAGTCAATATATTCCGTACCATGTTTTCATTTCCAGCGTTCGAATTCTCCCGACACATTTCACAATTTCTCCACCCCGAACTTTTCTCTGTGGCTAATGTCAATGTTGATTCACGCACAATTCACGGATAATGACGTCATCAGTTCATGTGCAGTCTGAAGACTCCAACTTGACTAGAAATATCTGTGTGCACTGGGCAAACTTTATAAGGGCCCATACAGGTAGGCTTTTGGGCCGTTCACGATCTTCCCGCCCAATAACATCAACAGACAGACATTCCTTTAGACAGACATGATTTTAAACAGACATCCTTTTAAGACAGAATCGGTGCGGACTAAAGACTGTAAACATTCTTTCCCCATTTGACTAAGTTCAAATATATTACACACAACCTAATCGACAATAAAAACATTTCCTTCTGAAGTTTGGGCACGTTTAGAATGGATGGCCGGTTGTGTTATTATTGCCACTGCTGTTTTTAAATGAGCTGGAATCTCAAAACAGAGAATATATTAGGAGCTAGGATTGGCCAAAATGTATATCAGGAGCTGGAGTTGGCCAAAATGTATATCAGGAGCTGGAGTTGGCCAAAATGTATATCAGGAGCTGGGGTTGGCCAAAATGTATATCAGGAGCTGGGGTTGGCCAAAATGTATATCAGGAGCTGGGGTTGGCCAAAATGTATATCAGGAGCTGGGGTTGGCCAAAATGTATATCAGGAGCTGGGGTTGGCCTAGTTGTATATCAGGAGCTGGGGTTGGCCAAAATGTATATCAGGAGCTGGGGTTGGCCAAAATGTATATCAGGAGCTGGGGTTGGCCTAGTTGTATATCAGGAGCTGGGGTTGGCCAAAATGTATATCAGGAGCTGGGGTTGGCCAAAATGTATATCAGGAGCTGGGGTTGGCCAAAATGTATATCAGGAGCTGGGGTTGGCCAAAATGTATATCAGGAGCTGGGGTTGGCCAAAATGTATATCAGGAGCTGGGGTTGGCCTAGTTGTATATCAGGAGCTGGGGTTGGCCAAAATGTATATCAGGAGCTGGGGTTGGCCAAAATGTATATCAGGAGCTGGGGTTGGCCTAGTTGTATATCAGGAGCTGGGGTTGGCCAAAATGTATATCAGGAGCTGGGGTTGGCCAAAATGTATATCAGGAGCTGGGGTTGGCCAAAATGTATATCAGGAGCTGGGGTTGGCCATAAGTTGTTGTGACGCGAGTTTGTTATAGAAATTTTCAGAAAACTTCTGCCAGCTGATGTAATGCGCTATAACATCCTCGCTCACACAGGGCAGGGAGGGGCACTGTCTCTGTACTGAAGCTGCCTTTATGATTTGGGGGGGGGGGGGGGGGTGTAGGAGATCACGTGTTTTGTCGATATTCCGCAATCTAGTGCAGCTATAGCTAGTCGCAGCTATAGCCAGCCGCAGCCATAGCCAGGCTCAGCTATAGCAAGCCAAACTGACTGTGAAACAAACAGCAAAACACCTCTCCCGAGTGTCATGTTGCAATAGCTGCTCAGACCCCCACCCCCACCACCCACCCACCCAAGGTACGCCCTGACCCAGTCCTCGCGGTCAGACCCCCGCCCCTACTCCCACCCCACCACCCACCCGAGGTACGCCATGACCCAAACCTCAGAGTCAGACCCCACCCCCCACCCCACCCCTCCACCCACCAATGTTTATCAACGGTTCTTCTCTGGCACTCAGTGTGTTGAGGCAGACTTGACCCAGACCTACACGCAACCTTTATACACGCAGAGACACCCACACATATACACTGACCGCCACGCCACATTTCATCACCACATCGCACCACACCTCCCCCCATCAACTCTAAAACCTCACCACACCACACCTCCCCCCATCAACTCTAAAACCTCACCCCACCTCACCCCATCAACACCAAAACCTCACTCACCCCACCTCACCCCATCTATTCTAAAACCTCACTCACCACACCTCACCCCATCAACACCAAAACCTCACTCACCATAGCTCATCCAATCAACTCTAAAACCTCACTCACCACACCACATCCCCCTCATCCCACCAACACCAAAACCTCACTCACCATAACTCAGCTTCCCACTCGACTTAACGTAATGCACGTGTTTTGTGACACCAGACTTAACGAGACCCAGATCTCGTGTAGGCGTGTGTGTGGGGGGGGAGGTTGAAGACAACAATGTAATCGTGTAATGCTCACCCCCGCGCCCTTGGGTCCGTAAACCGTACTTACACATTCATCACCATACCACCTCTAACTACCGACCCTTCCCCCCCCCCCCGCCCGACCCAAACAAAAAAACGACGCAGTAATAAATAAATGTCCCGGGACTGGAGAGTTGCGTAACGTAAAAGGTCAGACGGCCATACAACCTACTGTCTTTACCAACAGAGTGGTGGGGGGGGGGGGGGGGTCCGGGGTGGGGGTCGTTACTTTTTAACGGCCCACTTTTTCGTTTCGTCGTTTTTCTTCGCTCAAGTTTGCTCCCTACGTTTTGACACTTCCCACGGAGAGCGAGACCTGACTTTTGGACACCCCCCTCAACCCCCCCCCCCCCCCTTCCCCAGGCTCACCTGACACGAACGGTGGCCAGGATAGCACCTGGCCCGTCAACGCCACTCCGACATAAGCAAGGGCTAAGTCGGAGATTGACCCTCCCTGGCCCCCACCCTCGCGGCACTCGTTCTCTCGCAAATGCTAAGTCCCGCTTCAAAGGGACTGGCCCCATCAAAGCGAGCCTGACCCCCATCAAAGCGAGCCTGACCCCCATCAAAGTGAGCCTGACCCCCGTGACCCCCATCAAAGCGAGCCTGACCCCCATCAAAGTGAGCCTGACCCCCATCAAAGCGAGCCTGACCCCCATCAAAGTGAGCCTGACCCCCGTGACCCCCATCAAAGCGAGCCTGACCCCCATCAAAGTGAGCCTGACCCCCATCAAAGCGAGCCTGACCCCCATCAAAGTGAGCCTGACCCCATCAAAGCGAGCCTGACCCCATCAAAGCGAGCCTGACCCCCATCAAAGCGAGCCTGACCCCTATCAAAGTGTGCCTGACCCCCATCAAAGTGAGCCTGACCCCCCTGACCCCTATCAAAGTGAGCCTGACCCCCATCAAAGCGAGCCTGACCCCCACCAAAGCGAGCCTGACCCCCATCAAAGCGAGCCTGACCCCCATCAAAGCGAGCCTGACCCCTATCAAAGCAAGCCTGACCCCCATCAAAGTGAGCCTGACCCCCCTGACCCCCAACAAAGTGAGCATAACCCCCCTGACCCCCATCAAAGTGAGCCTGACCCCCATCAAAGTGAGCCTGACCCCCCTGACCCCCATCAAAGTGAGCCTGACCCCCCTGACCCTCATCAAAGTGAGCCTGACCCCCCTGACCCCCATCAAAGTGAGCCTGACCCCCATCAAAGTGAGCCTGACCCCCCTGACCCCCATCAAAGTGAGCCTGAACCCCTGACCCCCATCAAAGTGAGCCTGACCCCCATCAAAGTGAGCCTGACCCCCCTGACCCCCATCAAAGTGAGCCTGACCCCCCTGACCCCCATCAAAGTGAGCCTGACCCCCCTGACCCCCATCAAAGTGAGCCTGACCCCCATCAAAGTGAGAATGGCTTGGAGCTGAAGTCAGCCAACGACCGGACCCCCGGCTGCCACGCTAAATATTTGCACGTCTGCGTGGCTGGACTGTACGGGCAGACGAGGTGGTCGCCAGTGGTGACGTCACTCTGACGACATCTTGGGCATGTCGTGGCGATGGGGCGCTGCAGGACTACAGCAAATATCAACAGGCGCCCTCCTCACCCCCCCCCCCCCCCCTCCATGACACGAGCCGAGAATACTCAGACGTTGCCTTCTATAAAAACTCGTGGATCGTGAGGTTCATAGGGGTGTCTGTCTATAATAATTTACAGCTAGTCAGTGTGCTCCAGTGTGGGAGATATATGGGGCATCAGTCCGTGTGCCCCAATGTGGGAGGTTATATGGGGCATTAGTTTGTGTGCCCCAGTGTGGGAGATATAGGGGGCATCAGTAGGTGTGGGAAGTATATGAGCATCAAAGTCTTAACAAAAAAATCAGAGAAAAAAAGTCACAAATTTGCATATTTTCACATATTATAAAAATCGACATATATTCAATTCATGTTGTTGTTTTAAATATATGCAAGTAAATTGTATTAGTATGGTTAAATTTATGGCAAACGTAAAAAAAAACAACTCAGTCTTAATTAAGTAGGTAGGTTTATAACTTAATTGTTTTCAAAACTTAATAAAATTCTAGTTAGTAAGCTCTTATCGTGTTTTCTACTGCAAGCTTTGAGTGGGACGAAGTTGATAAGATTTGCTGTCCCCAACTTATGGCAGAAATATCCCCACTACATTGACTGCCCTCATTTACCTCGCTCATTACATGACAAAACACACGATCGAGGTAAAAAGCGGACACGGCACTCAAGGGGCGGATAAGGCCAAGCGAGTAGAGGCCTACGGCTAAATCCAGATGAATACAAAAGATTGAAACTGAATATATTAAATCGAATGTTCCCTCATCAGATTTAGTTGATAAAACTATTTTTGTACTAGATATTCATATGCATATCTATAGCCTAGTATACTATGATATTTTTACTTACTTGGAATGGGGAAGACAGATTATTAAAGTAAATACTACCACATTAGAGTTTATTAATATATTAAACGAGCCGTCCCGGACAGGCCCTGCACTGGAATGACTTGTGTGTTTATTAAGCATAAATCCGGCATGGACGTTTGACAAAGAAACACATAACCCTAAGCCCAACTCTAACATTAAACTTAACACTAACCACAACCAACCAAAACCAAAACACAAAAATAAACGCAAACATAACGCAAATACAAACTCAAACACAAAAGCAAAGACAAACACACATGTAAACACAAACAAAAATGCAAACACTAACGCAATTACAAAATCAAACACAAACAGAAACAAAAAAGCAAACACAAACATAAACATAAGCACAAACACAACACAAACACAAATACAAACGCTAATACAAACGCAAACCTAAACGCAAACAATAACGCAGAACATAAACACAAATTTAAATACAATGCAAACATAAAGGCATAGTGCTCACCGTATAGCCCGTGGCGCACAATATTACCCTGCCTGGCGCGGGCGAAACCGCCTGATAAGTTAGTAAACGACTATAATATCCCATCTTATCCATAGTCTATTGAACTCACTAAACCAAACGTAGGCGCAATAGCGCTCACGGGAAGTCCCGGTGCGCCAAATAGCACCCTTTGGGGCGCCAGACGACGCCCTAGATTCGATTTAATGAACGACTATAAAAACCCTTTTTATACACAGCCTATCGCACTCCTTAAAACGAACGTATGCATCATAGCGCTCACAGGATAGCCCAGGGCGCCAAATCGAACCCTGCCTGTTCGCCGGCGGACGCGCCTAATTCAATTTAGTGAACGACTATAATACCCCAGCTTGTCCGAAAACCGAAAACAGAAGTAAACATACAGGATATTTTGGAGCGGCTTCTAAACTGTTATTGATTAAAAATAATAATTAGTAAACAGTACTTTCAGTGTATAAAATAAAATGCAGTATTTAAAATATCCGTGTTTTACCTACCACGTCGCACTTTATCAATCCATGATAATTATTAAATTTTTCAACACCAAAACAACTAATAAAAAGTATTCCCCCCCCCCCCATGTAATGTTTTTTTTTTAAAGGGAAGGGAAAAAATGGTTATCTAAGAAGGGACGTAATTGGCACTAAAGGAACAAAGTGAAGTAATTTGTACATTTTTAAACAAAGGTGTGTAAACAAAGGTGTTCGATTTGTTTTGCTTTGTATTTTATATTATTTTTTAAATATGGTGTTTGTTTTTTGTAACCAAAAAAATGGTTTTAAATGTGGTGTTTTCAATTATTTTTTTAACTTATTTTTTTTTCCAAATGTGGTGGTATAATATAGAAGATACACATATTGATTAAAATAAAATCACCAAGAACACCTGTTATTAGTATTAATGGTCGCTCTCAATAAACAGTAAGTTTTATTTCAGCATTTGACAGACATTCAAGTTTTTTTTTAAAGCAAGGCTTGTCGCTATCTCATTTTGCCTAATGTTTAACGTACTAAAAATTCCAAGCCAAATGGTGGGGGTGGGGAGATGAGCCTCGGAATGTTGACATAATCTTTATAAAAACGTGTTTCACTCAATTGTGAAGAACTGGAGTGTACACGGAAGTAGCGCTAATTCAGTGTTGACGTCAAAAAAAAGGGGCACATTTTGCTCCAGAGCTGGTGGTCACGTACCTGAACTGCTGGTAGGTCGTTCACTTGCCTGCATACGTCACGCGGGATTGTTTCATGTCAATCAATCCATCGCCTTAAGGCCATTTTTTAAGTTAATTAATTACATGACAAAAATACTAAATGAAACGTGCTATGGCCTAAGCAAAAAACTAATTAATTAAAATTTTATTTTAAACTAAGCTCAGTGAATAAATAATATTTGGGATTTTTTGACTTTGTAAGATCTTTAATTTAACATTTCTGATGATTAACGCAATCTTTCAATATTCAACACCGTCCCACCCCCTCACCTTGCTAGTAACAATAGAAATGTATCAAGGGAAGTAACCAAACAGCCAGGACATTCAGCCCACTGTGTCGTGGAGTATATTATAAAACGACCTGTCACAGATGGAGCGATAGGCAGCAGATAGAACAGATATGCCTGTGTAGGGGCTCGTTAATCTCTCTGGGGTTTTATGACTTGACCCTAGTGACTGAAGGTACGTTAATCTCTCTGGGTTTTATGACTTGACCCTAGTGACTGAAGGTACGTTAATCTCTCTGGGGTTTTATGACTTGACCCTAGTGACTGAAGGTACGTTAATCTCTCTGGGGTTTTATGACTTGACCCTAGTGACTGAAGGTACGTTAATCTCTCTGGGGTTTTATGACTTGACCCTAGTGACTGAAGTTTGCTGACTTAATCGTTGTAGTGCACAGCAATTATGTTTTAATGAACGCAGACACTTATGACGTCATGATTATTAGACAGCGGTCTCTGAAAGTTGCCTAGATCTCTGAAAGTTGCCTAGATCCCTGAAAGTCACCTGTTGACCTGTTAAAAAATGTCCTCATTCCCCGGACAATGGCTGTTGCCATTGGCTAGCTGCTGACGTAGTTAGAGCTTAAAAGGCAGCCAATCAATGACCGTCTCTACCTGTGTTCAGTGGACTGTGACCGGCTCACACGGCAGTCAGCCGCAGTCATTTGCTTTACAGTCATCTACTCTGTAGCTGCAGTCATCTATAGCTGCAAACATCTAGACCAACAGAGAAGTGTACTTTGTACTGGTGCAGCTAGGCTGTTGTGTGGCGTGCCGAACAGCTGACATTGTTAGCCAATCAGGCTGTTGATAAAAATGACATCAAATGACATCAAATGACATCAAATGACATCAAATGACATCAAATGACATCAAATGACATCAAATGACATCAAATGACATCAAATGACATCAAATGACGTCGAATGACCTGTAATGATTACATTAGTAAAAGGCAATATGTGTAAGTGTCTTAACAGCATCATCAGTCCGGAAAAGACTTAATAATTACGGTGTATGAATTTAAATATAGAAAGCCGTATTAGCCAACACAGTTGTCAATAAAATTCGACGAAATTTCACAGATTTTGAAACCTGAATGAAGTTCTACAAGAAACTCATTTTGAACTTCTTGGATTTATTGTGCTATATGGAAACTACGTATTTCTTAATCTGCGAATTTTACTGCAACTTTTATTAACAATAGCAGTTTCAATTGCAAGCTGCGAGCGGTCGTTCAACAAATTGAAACTTATTTAGTCGCATTTATGTGCGTCAATTGGTCAATATCGTCTCAGTTATCTTGCTCGTCTTAGAATTGAAAGAGAAACATTGGGAAAAACAGATTTTGATTGCGTAATTGACCAGTTTGCGACTGTGAAATCAAGGAAAATAAATCTTGTGTAGACTATGTCAACCAGTATAGGACATTAACTGAGTAGGTCATGTACTATCATTTCTATAAATTTGCTTCTTTAAATACAAATTTAAATTGTTTTACTTATTTAATTTAATACAAATATGTGATTAAACGGGGAGGGGGCTGGGCCGTCAATTTTATTATTTGTCAGCTTTATAGTTCGTACCATAGCTACACCTTTGCCTTCCCATTTTAGTCGGCGAAAAAGCGCGCTCCCTCCTCCCCCCATTCTAGGAAAAGCTGTTGTGGTTTTTGCCGGTCACTGTTTCTTAAGGGTATTTGTTTTGCAGTTACACAGTCAAGGTAGAAAACAGACAGTTAAATCAGTCTGTATTGGCCCGTAGCCGTTCAATTTCTTGACTTTGGTTGTCTATACTTCAAAACTGCAGCTAAAATGAGCTTTTAATTTTTTTTTTGCAAACCATTTTGGCACCCATAGGATCGGCGCCCGGGGACATATGCATCCCCACGCTACGCCTCTGATAACATCATTGTTCTAACACCATCATTGTTCTAACACCATTATTAACACCATATTTTTCCTGACACAATCGTAAACCTTTGACTCTAA